GCCGACTACGGTCTTCTGCCGACTACGGTCTCCTGCCGACTACGGTCTCCTGCCGACTACGGTCTCCGGCCGACTACGGTCTCCGGCCGACTACGGTCTCCTGCCGACTATGGTCTCCTGCCGACTATGGTCCTTCAGGCCAAACAAACCTGTATATGTAACTCTTACCATGTAATGCAATCTATATGAAGTACATTTGCTACATCAATCCAAGGCCTTCTCCTAAGGAAGAGCCTCATTTGTAATCGACTACAAATACTAGTGGATTCATTCAAACCGGGCCAGGCCCCGTGGTTTTTCCCCATTTTTCAGGGGTTTTCCACGTAAAAACTCTGGTGTCACTTATGAATGCTACACCCTCTCACTTATGTGCTGGATCTTCGTACAACGCTAAGACGTTAAACTATATATTTCTCTACCGCCGCGAATATTCCAGGACGCAACATCACTTATGAGCCATTTTATTTGCTGAAAAAAAGAATGCAAAGTAAGAGAAATATAGTATAAAATGAATGTAATAAGTTTAATATATTTTGAGCTATTTGGATAACTATAAAATAAATGAAGGTGTTTTTTTTATTTGGTTTGAGCTAAAATATAGCTTCATTTATATTTTTAGATATTACATTTTACATAACTAAAATACAAAGTGTTATACCTTCATAAAAATTACACATTCTTGAAATAAATACATTAAAATATTTGTATATAAGAATTATAATATAAATTTTAAAATTACACATTAGAACAATTTTTTTTATATCTAAATTATATTTGGTTAATAGGCTACAAATTTAAAATGAAAATTGTGATAGCTCCAAGATTAGATTAATTTCTTTCATGAATAGAGCGCCGATCAAAGTCGATGAGCTGGTTAATGAGTCAGATTTGAATTGAGCTAAGCCTACATCAAATTGAGATGGCATAGGATCAGATCATAATACATATGCGTCATGCATGTATGTATGAATAGATATATATCGTATAAATCCCCTTAAAAATTTTTATGTACTCTCCTACACAGACGAATATACAAATCCTACTAAAATAATTTGTACAAAAAAATACATACTTCTTATATATTTGCCCCAAAAGAAGCCATAGTATCAAAAATTAGGATAATTACATACATATCTATAATTTCTTATATATTAGCATATTTAATATTTAAAATTTTACCTCCAAAATTCCCCACAACGCAAAATATCAAAAGATTTCATATATGTTCAAACCCCTACCATTAAAAAGAGCTTCATAAAATAAATACAGCCTTTATAAATTCTCCAAATTTAAGAATTCTATTCATGCAAAAATGGAGTGAAAAAACATTTATTACATTCTAACTCATGATGACTATCTACAAACAAGTAAATAGACTGATAGATAGCATTTGTGCTTCAGATGCTGCAGTTTTGTATGTTATTAATGTAAAAATGGATGGTCTATGAATATATATCACCCATAAAAAGGCTAAAAAAAAATAAAATATTACATGAAATTTTAGTAAGTTGTTTTTCCTCTCAGCCCAAGCCATATACCACCTGAAAAAGAAAGACCAGCACCCACTGAAACCTATTGAGCTCATGAACATAACAGTTCTGAATTTTGAACCTGTAACAACATCAAACAGCATCCATGAAAAGATTATGACTGCTTGAAACAAGGATGGCTACAGCTACATTTGATAAACAAGTTTTTGAAAAAAATAAAACATAAATCAAAGCTGTGAAAAGCATTATCAAGCAAAGCCTATAATGTTTGGCATGTGGTATAGTCATCAATTCAGGGGCGGAACAAGCTATACTTTTGAGGGTGGACAAAGCTAGCGACAGGTGTCCAGAGAAGTGCAGGTGGCGGGGGCTTTTAGTAAGTCACAAGGGAAGGCGAATCTAAACAGCAGTTTGACAAGCATGGATGAGATATGAGAAATAGTGCGCATGAGAAATAATGAGTGGTTGAGCCTGCGTGAATTAGATTGGGACTAGATGGGGGCAAAACTCTTTAACATAGGGCAAATAAATTTTCTAGGATGGGAGTGGGGGGGCAAGTTTTTGAAATTTCCCTCATAAGCAAAACTCAATTTTGAGGGTAGGCAATTACCCACCCTCAGTTCAATGTGATTCCACCCCTAGTCATAATAGATTTTATATAGAGAGACAATATTCTTTACAGATAGTTGCTGATGATCGTGGATCAAAGAAGAGACGCACAAGAAAAGAATCCTTTCCATCACACATTTCTAGCACAAATCAAAATCATGATGTCAAGTTTTTGAAGATCAAAGCAGCTAAAAAGATTATAAAACAATATAACAAGCAGATTAATCATGCTGCATAAGAGGTAGCTTGAAAGTGGGTTCGGAAACTGCATCAGAGACCAGTGATCCTCAATACAAAACAAAAACTTCTGCAATAAAGAATTAAGCTTTGCATCAGCTTTTAATCTAGCATACTTCACATAGGTAGCAACTGTTAATTAATATCTATAATTTCACTAAGCGAACTTACATATAACTTAGCTTTTGACTGGTGTATCATAATAGATGATTTTTCAAGTGTAATATGTGTTGGAATCAGGATTTAAAGACGGCAAAATTTTGTAAAAACACTTCAAACTTAAAGAGGCAAAGAGGGGGTGCACTATAGATACCTCAAAGGGTTTTTAGGCCAAATATGAGAGTGGTGAGTGACACCCCCTAGTTCTGCCATCGTGCTATAACTTTCACCACAACACGAGGTAGAATCCTCCACATGTCGATATTTGGGGTATATTTTGGAGCACATATGGGTCCCACTTATTCCACCAGCAAGCCTTACAATGGGGGTCACCAGATCAATGACATACTGGATAAAAGAGCTAATTCTCCCATCTATCATGGCACACTTAGCATTATATAGAGGGTTGTTTGATTTAACATACTTGAATCACACCATTATTTAACTTGTAGTGTTATTTGATTGTCACTGCAATCTACGATCAAGGGATTGTAGTTTGTTTGGTACTTTATTATAGCCAGTAAATATTGCACTGCAATGGAATGATCCACAAATATTTGATTTTCAGTGCAACTATAACTATATTATAACAACCTCAGAATTACTAACTTATTTTGATGCTTGCTAAGCATGTTATTTCTGTCTGCACTTAGTTTACTGAATACATGCATAAATTGCATATTCATATTAAAAAACATATTGTTTCATAGACTAAACACTACTACAAGTTGGCAGCCAATGCTCACAGAAATTTTTATGAATTTCACCAAAGGGATTATGTTTTGATCAGTATTTTTAAAACGATAAACATAATACGTTTCACCAAGT